GCCTGGTCGTGACTGCCTGGTCATCCCGTAGTCATGGCTGACATCTCAATGAATTGGGTTTTATAGTTACCATCACTTGATTTATCATTATTTTCGTTTTGATTTGTTGTTAATATTTTTGAGTATTCTTTGAAATCTATTGTTTTATAAGTTATTTAGCATTCATTGGCGTAACAATCGATATAATCTTTATAATTTGTTTCAATTAATTTGTGTTCATTTGATATAATGAATATTTTAGTGGTTATTAAAACACAGATCAAATTATTATTATTAAGCCATGAATTAATTTGTTGTATATCTTGGATGTGATGTTCAGATAGTATTGGTTTTGGTGTGCATTTAATTGTTTGATTACATTTACCGCAAAAATATAAATCATTTGTTGTAAGAAAATATGAACCAAATTGTGTGCAACTGATTGTCTTTACATTATTAATGTTTGATATCAATCGTGGTTTCGATACTTCTTTATCGGTTATATTGTGTCCCAAACTATAGTAACTATTGTAACCCCAACTAAACACATGTCCATCAGATGTGATGGCAAATGAAGTGCAAACAAAACAATAAATGGATTGTATTTCATAATTATTAATGAATTCTATTTCAATCGGTGTATAAATATATTTTTTAAATTGAGTTTTACAACCAATTTGACTCCACGTATTGCTACCCCAGCCATATACGCGGCCATCACTTGTTAGGGCCAGTGTATGACATGTACCACAACTTATTTGTGTAATGTTTTTATCATTAAAATATGATATTATCTCTGGTTTGCAATAAGGCAACCACACGTTTGTTTTACCACGACCTAATTGTCCCCATTTATTAGATCCAAACCCATATATAATATTCATATCATTCACTGCTAACACAAAATCCAATCCATTGACAAAATATTGAATGTTTTGATTACATAATTGTGGTATTATTTCTGGTGATAGTATAGGACTGTTGTTTCCAAGACCCAGACAGCCGTTCTTATTGTTACCGAAACCATAGACCATATCATTGTTTGTAACAATCAACACATTATATTTATCATTATATTTATTATAATCACTAAAAACATGCAATTTTGTGATATTTTCTTTAATACTCATCGGAATTTTATCATAAATTATAAATTTTTCTAATAATTCAAACATTTCTATAAGAATCACAACTTTTAAAAACAATATTAACTATTAATATAGTGAAAGCCACCCCCTAGCGGCGTTTACTTTTTCGTTAATCATTTCATTTTAATACAGTGTGTCGGGCCATACGATATACTATTTATACAGTACACTGTATGAAAATAAAATGATTAATGAAAAGTAAACGCGTTTAGTTCTGTGGCCTTTACTATATTAATACATAAAAATCTTATTAAAAACTTTTACTTTATTGATAAAATTTTTTAAAAATATAGTAAATAAATACTATTTTCTTTGTTTTAATGAAAATATTAATAAACACTTCAATACAACCTTTTGTTAACAAATGTTATAATCAGTGAAAACTAATAGAAATAAAACAAAGAATTTCATACAATATGTGATAATAACTATAGTTTTTAATAAACTAGAGTTAATAACACAAAAACTTTATAATACTTATAAATTATAACTCATTGTAAAGTATAATTTATAAGATTTATTTAAAATCATGGCTTAATTAATAATATAAACCAATTAATTACAAATGCAATTATAATACAAAATATTATTACAAATAAATGGGAATAATTGGGAATATCATTGCTCTCAACGCGTGGGCTATGTATAGGAGGGGAGAAATTAGAGGACACTTCGCTATTATTTAATTTACACATTAAAAAGTCATAGAAAAATATATTATCATTAGATTTCAATTTATCTAAAATTGAATTGAATTCCTTATGTTTAGTGACAACACTCTTATCAATGGACCACTCGTTATGTGTGGCCAACACTTCTCGACAGTCAGGCCTTTGTCTCCAATTGGGTGTTGACATCATTGCCAGAAGTGTCCGATACATACATTGCATGGATGTCTTGAATACTGATTCCTTGGCTTCAAATGATTTTGAGCTTTAAAGTCATATAAATATAATTATTAATTATTAAATTTCCTAATTTAAACTCACGCTTGAAAATCAATACTAAACAATTGTTCACCGATTACATAGAGGCTATACATATCTGCCAAATGGTTATATTTACGACTGTATACTTCGGGTGCGATATATTTTAAAGTACCACAAACTGAGTGGTCGTATCGATGACTCGAAACCGCACTCATAGGTCAACCCGAAAGCGAGTTAGAATTTATAAGTTGCCTAATATATGAGTAGACGTAACTTTCGAGTTAATTATATTTACTATAAAATATATTTTCAACATGTTAACATTTAGCGACATTTATAAGTATTATAGTTTATCAAAATCTTTAGATATTAGCACACATTGTTTTGTTTCCATTATTTTTCACTGATTAAAACATTTGTTATCAAAAGGTCGTATTGAAGTGTTTATTAACACAAATAATATAAATAGAGATTTTTCATTAAAACTAAGAAAATATTATTTATTTAATATATTTTCAAAAATAGTTAATATTGTTTTTAAAATTTGTGCTTCTTATAGAAATGTGTGAATTATTAGAAAAATTTACAATTTGTGATAAAATTCCCACAAATATTAAGGAAAATATTACAAAATTACATGTTTTTATTGATTTTTATGGAAAAGATAATGTGTTATTTGTTACAAACAATGATATGGTCTATGGGTTTGGCAATAATAAGTATGGATGTCTGGGTTTTGGACACAACAGTAAAATACTATCACCACAAATAATACCACAATTATGTCATCAAAACATACAATACTTTGTCAATGGATGGGATTTTGTGTTAGCAGTGAATGATATGAGTATTATATATGGGTTTGGATTTAATAACTGTGGACGATTAGGTCGTGGTAAAACAAATGTGATGTTTTGCAAACCAGAGATTATATCATATTTTAAAGATAAGAATATCACAGAAATAAGTTGTGGTGCATTTCACACACTGGCCCTCACAAGTGATGGTCGCGTATATGCCTGGGGTTACAATGATTGGGGACAAATTGGTTGCGGAAATCATGAAGATATTTATACACCGATTGAAATACAATTCACTAATAATTATAAAATACAATCCATTTATTGTTATAAAACATCTTCATTTGTCATCGCATCTGATGGACATGCGTTCAGTTGGGGTTATAATAGAACTCATATATTGGGACACAATATAACCGATGAGGAAGTAGTGAAACCCCGATTGATATCAAACATTAATAATGTAAAGACAATTAGTTTCACACAATTTGCAGCATATTTTTTGACTACAAATGGTTTATTCATTTGCGGCAAATATAATGAAATAATTGAAAAAACACCGAAACAAATACTATTTGAACATCACATCCAAAATATACAACAACTAAATTCATGGGTTATTAAAAATAATAATGAATTTATTTGTGTTTTAATAAGCAATAAAATATTTAAAATATTAAATAAAGACAAAATAATTGAAACAAATTATAAGAATTATATCGACTTTTACGCCAATGAATGTCAAATAACTTACAACACAATAGATTTGAAAGAATACGCAAAAATGTCTTTAAAAAATCAAAACGAAAATAATGATAAGTCAAGTGATGGTTACTATAAAACCCAATTCATTGAGATCACACAAATAGGCCACTCGTCGTCATTTGGAAAAGTATTTAAAGTAAAACATAGATTAAATAATAAGATATTTGCCGTCAAAAGAGTAGAATTTGAGGGTAAATACAATAAATATTTCCTTAAATTATTTATAAAATATTAATAAATATTTTCACAGATTTTAGTGAAGAAGAGAAACAAAAAATTCTGAAAGAAGTGAAAATATTATCAAAACTGGACTTAAATTTTGTGGTTAAATATCACAACTCATGGCTTGAGTCCAATCATCTCTATATTCGGATGGAGTTCTGTCCGCAAAGTCTTCGAGATTTTATTGACAACAAAGTGATTGTCTTCGAGAGACAACCGGAAGACCACATGAATAGTGTTTTTGAATATTACATTTCGTGTGAAATATTCAAAGAAATCTTAAGGAGTGTTCAATATCTCCACGAATGCAAACCTCCTGTCATTCATAGGGATCTAAAACCCGAGAATATATTAATTTCAGCCAATATTATGTCTAATCGTTGTGTAAAACTGTGTGACTTTGGTTTGGCTACTGTTCACAACATCGATGGTAACACTTCCAGCCGATACGACCACTCAGTTTGTGGTACTTTAAAATATATCGCACCCGAAGTATACAGTCGTAAATATAACCATTTGGCAGATATGTATAGCCTCTATGTAATCGGTGAACAATTGTTTAGTATTGATTATCAAGCGTGAGTTTAAATTAGGAAATTTAATAATTAATAATTAATTAAATTTTATGATTTTAAAGCTCGACATCATTTGATGCCAAGGAATCGGTGTTTAGAACATCCATGCAGTGTATGTATCGGACACTTCTGGCAATGATGTCAACACCCAATTGGAGACAAAGACCTGAGTGTCGAGAAGTGTTGGCCAAACATAACGAGTGGTCCATTGATAAGAGTGTTGTCACTAATCATAAGGAATTCAATTCAGTTTTAGATAAATTAAAATCTAATGATAATATATTTTTCTATGACTTTTTAATGAGTAAATTAAATAATAGCGAAGTGTCCACTCATTTCTCCCCTCCTATGCATAGCCCACGCGTTGAGAGCAATAATATTCCCAATTATTCTCATTTATTTGTAATTATATTTTGTATTATAATTGCATTTGTAATTAATTGGTTTTTATTATTAATTAAACCATAATTTGAATTAAATGAAACTTTAAATAACTTTACTATGATCGTTTTTAAAATGAACTCTTCATTGCATTTAATTTACTCTTTATTTCAATCAATGAAACAATAAAAAAATTGTGGTTAAAAATGTCAATTCCTCACAAACATCACATGTGTTGTCCGGACCCGAGATTTAATCCTTTTATCATAATCTGTTTGAAAGCGTTGTTTACATTAAAAGCATTAAAAGCTCTGTACATATTTCCGAGTGATGTATAACTGGTTTCTGATTTAACGTGCCTACTTTTCACGCCTTTGATGTACAGTATATGTGTATTTGTCGGCAGTGTTTGTGTGGGATTACAATAATTAAAATATAGCTCAAAATAATTTAATATAATTAGTATATTTATTTTTAATATTATATTAGACATTTATACTTTTATTATAACAACAAATTAAATATAAATACGTAATATTTGTTCACCTGTTATATAAATAAACAATTCACACACAGCGATGCTACGGCTAGGCTAACCACAATTCGGGTGATACTCAAAGAATAGATTAGCACTATCTACAGATTTAATACTAGTCCATAGGATTAGCATTAGACCAAGTATTATTCATAGACTTAGCATTGTCTATAGGATTAGAATTAGCCCCATAGACTCAACATTATCCATATACTAAACATTATCCATAGACTTAGCATTACCCATGTTATTCCTATGCAATAGACTTAAGCTGTAATCCCATATTAAATTTTGTAAGGCTGGGGGCCGGGGGAGGAGGCCGATAGATGCTATAAACCACATTCTTCATATATGAATTGTGGTTAAACATAGAGCTTTAAATGAAATATTTATAATTAATAAACTAATTAAGTTTGCAAATCAAAGGTGTGAAATAGCCTCAATTCGGTTGATATATTTCAATCAATTTTGCAAATGATATTATTTGTTAGTAATAATTTTAGTAAATAAACACATTTATTTATCGACCGTTCCTTATTAATAAATCATACTACTACTTTATTATTGTTTATTAATATTTTGTGCTAAATAAACAGTATTTTCATTATGGCATTATTCAAAATAATATTCCCAAGTATTTACAAACCACTCCCTTGTGTATAAAAACAATTTAATTAATTTTTATGTATTACTTGAACTAAATAATGCATAAAAACTATTAAACTAAATGTATATTGAATTGGAGTCTCAATTCAAACAAGTTGAAGAGCCAAACAACATTCAATTATTTATATGTAATTTACATTTTTGAATATTTGTGTTGTTTTAAATTTAGGCTTCATTTAATAATTTGTTCAAATGGCCGCTGTGTTTAAAATCAAACATTTATATTCAGTTATACCGGGCGCTAATGTCGTATGGAATAAATTGTATTTTTGCGCTGGGCAGTTTAAAAATATTTCATTTAATAAATTTATCCAAATTCACGGCCCGGTAAATAAAATAATTTTACATTGTTAATATTAGCAAAATATGCATTTTTAATATTTTCCCCCATTAAAATCAGAGCCAATTATACGGTATGGCATTAACGTATGCGGAACATATTCTTTGTAAAATAAATCTACCAATAAAACTTGTGTACACTCTTGAGGTAAAGTATTATTAATATGAATAAAACAATATAAATTTACATAGATTAACTTTTACTTATAAATTCATTAATTTATTTTGCAAATTTATAAATCAACCACATATAATAAGTATGTACAATTCAATGTGAAAAGTGTAAGTTTGTTTAGTTTCTATTACTCATAAATTTAGCATTGTTTATAGGATTAGCATTAGTCCCATAGATTTAACATTACCCATAGACTTAGCATAGATGACATAAATGTTATTTACTGAATGTAACTAGAGTCATACTGCATTCGCCGCATTCCCATCATCCGAGTTATTTAATTCCAAATGCACTGGCGTTCCGTACAAAGACTCATATTCGATCCAGATCATTAGTGGGTTGCGATCAAACAAGGACGTTTCCATGTTTGGCATATTAAAATTGTTTCATTACCAAGTATGAATTATCTAATCACTTGATACTTTTACCTCGTAGAAATAGAGTGGACACAGATGTTAACTTGTATTTATTTAAATTTATTAATAGGCGTGGTTAGTCATACTATTCTACGCACTTATTATCGTTGCATTAATTAAATATAAGTACCCTGATAAAACAAATTTACTTCATGCTATAATCGACATATTTAATCCTTTATTAAATCAAGGAAATAATTTATTTAATAACATATTTAATTCAAAAATAAGTGGAATATCAATGATTGCATTGATGTCTATATGGCTGTTAAGTTCAGTAATAATAATACAATTATATTGCAGTGATTTATTAGACTCTTATATTAACGTAAAATCTGTGCCAATAGTAAACACAATTGACGATATATTAGATAACAAAAACATTTATGTATTGTTAAACAAATATTCAATGCTATCAATTGGTTATTATTTACCACATTTAAAACCAAAAATGATTGCACTCATGAATAAACATGTAAATTACGAACGATTAATGCATAAACGATACGACACTGTAAGTCACACATTGAATGAGGGAATATTCCGGGAAATGATTGCCGGGAAGATTGTCATACTGCCGGGTACTCTGCGCTTAAATCAATTTCAAGCGAAATACAATCGATTGTATGGCAGTCTCTATGCTGTCAGTAAACACAAGTATTTTCAAGATTTTTCGTTTCTTATTATATCAAACGATCTCAAAAATCATGGATATTTAGTACATTTTGTGAACATGTTAGTATTCGCATAATTTTATAATTGTGATAGATCAGCATGTATTATTTTAAAATGTATTCATTTATATATTTGTGTTCATATAAAGTATTGAATTGTTTTCAATAGGTACAAAAGGGGTAATGAAGGTGGCTTTGATTACCATCATCTTATGATTGATTCGATTATGAAAAGATATTTATATTTAAAAAGCCAAAAAAATAATCAAACTATTATTGAATTGACTAATAATCCGATTGATAATACATATAATGACATAACAATCGCCGATATGTTTAGAAATGCATTCTCACTGTTAATCATAGGATATTTTGTATCATTCGTTGTTTTTATTATGGAATTATTTTATAAATTATTAAATATAATATACATAAGAATGAGAATGATCATAAATATTTGGAAATCATATAACTAATTATGTTTATAATTTATACGAAACAATAAGTTAACATTTGTAAGTATTATATTTTATCAATAAACTATAGTTATAATCACTGAGTCTATGCGGCCGACCAGTGGTCAAGTGCTGGACGACTATAACCATTGGTTTATCAATAAGTCTTTTATCACTAATCATAAGGATTTCAACGCAACACTAAATAAACTTAAGTCTTACAATAATTTAATTTTTTACGAATTTTTAATATGTAAAACTAATTCAATTGGTTAATTATTTATAAATCATTCATAACAAGAACTATTTCAAATTTAAGTTTAATTATTATATACTTACTTAATTAACTATAAGTTTTCATTCTAGGTCGTAAATTATAAGTTTTAATCTTATATTATATGAAATGCACTGTTTCTCCATTGGTTTCGTTGATTATTTTTATTGTTATCTAATAAAATGGTTGTATTCATGTATTATTAACAATAAATTTAACAATTATTGTATTTTATTCTTTTAAACAAAGAAACTATTGTTTTCTTATTTTTAAAAATCGATTGTTATGAATTGTATTGCAGTAGATTATAAATATAAACCCAAATTTTGATATTTTTTAATATTATATATAAGTAGCAATTGAATAGAGTATACAGGAATGGCAAAGGAATTGTTTTATACTGTAGGCCGGTCCGACCTTAAAATAACAATCATGGTAATGTTATATAATTGGTCATTTGGATTTGTTCAGGCCTAACTGGCTTCTAGTGTAGATAAAATTATAAAAATGGTATCATAATTTAAGTCAACATTCATAGGCACCAGATACCAAGTTTCATTAAGATTGGTTGATTAGTGTTTATACTGGAAATTTTTAAAATGTGTCAGCTAGAAATATTTTTACAAAGGATAAAGTTCAATGTTAATGGGTACTTGGCCCAAAATTTTATATTAAATTTTTTTTTATTGTTTTTAATTTGCGAAATTAATTATCATTGTGAGCATAATTGAAATTGATATAAATGATGTACAGTAATTAAGTTAATCAATATAAATACAGTGTATAACTGTTACTAAATTTCTTAATTTTGATATAACTTCTACGCATGATGTCAGATTTGGGAAATTCCTTCAGATTTCGAATCCTCTCATTCATACCTTTCCATTAATATATAATATGATATACTTATTTATAAGATAGAGTATTTGACATTCAAATTTTTCCCGATAAAAGTGGTCACTACGGCCAAACCCGAGGTCGTCTGGCCAAATAAAATATACCACATTACTTCCTACAAAGTGTACTTTCGATTGATAACAATAATTCCCGAGTGCACTCTGGGCCTAATATGAACATTGTCTTTTGCACCAAAATATTTAGTGAAAAATTATCACATTTTTAAAGTTAAAATATTTTTACAAAATACAAGTTTTTAACCGATTATTTGGTTATTGATATTCACAATTAGTTATCCGACAATAGTTTTAACCAGATTTCATGACATCAACTATCTGGTGCCTATGAATATTAACTTAAATTATGATACCATTTTCATAATTTTATCTACACTAGACCCAATATAAATGGTTCAAACTGAAATTAAACTAATAATG